GGTTCCAGGTAACGAAAGGGAATCAAGACTATAACTCATTTATTCTCTTCAAGGTTTCCAACATTGTTGATCTTGGTTTGGCTAAGGTGCTTTCAGACATGCATTGACTCCAGATAATCTCCTGAAATTATTTAAATTATATGTGAGAACGCAAATGTCCAATTCAGAGGCTCCGGACCATTCACAGGAGTTTTCCATGCCATTATTAAAAACTCAGGATAATGTCTGAATGAGCCCCCTAAAGGCACAGGTTCAGATCTGGTGATCTGATGCACTTATTGTAAGTGGCTTTGGATGAAAGCATCAGCTAAATGTAATGTAATGCAATGGTGGGTTTTCTTAGGTCAGAGATGCTCCAGAAGTGATCACTCCTCCTTAATATGTCTATTTAGGCAAGTAATGTTCCAGACGATCTTAAAAAAACAGTCCTTTAAAGACTCATTCCCCTAAAAGCAAAGTCAATCCAAGCTACTACAGACCAGTGCCTTTTCAAAGATAATCCTGAGAATACTGCAAAAAATGAATATGAAATCATACTGAAATGGTTGATGTAAAGGAGACACTCTCAGAGTTAAGAATCACAGGACTCCACAAGGTGGTATACTGGGTTATTTATTTTTCTGTTATATATAAATGACTTAAAAGCAGCTGCCTCATGCAAACTTATTTTACATGCTGACTATTTCAAACAGTTGTGCACACAGATAAAAAGATTAGCTGAGAACACTCTTAGGCAGGAATGATCAGAAAACAACATTATCCCTACTCTTGGGTATAAGAAGCCGTTCTTGTTGGTTCCAAAGTCAAATTTGCAACGTCATGAACTTTTGTTGTGAAAATTGGAGAGTTCATTATAAATAATTGCTAAAGACAATGCTGGTTGTAATGTAGACTGAATCAAAATCACTCACCAAGATAAATAAAATAACCCAATCACAACAGGCATTAAAATGCTTTTACGGTGATCAGATTGAGGTCAGATAGAGCTTGACCACATGGAATACAGGTGCAAACACACCCACTGAGGATGGATTGTGATCTGATTGGCCAGTTTACCTCTAGACATGGTCAGTGGCTTGTTGTGACCACATTGAACAGTGTTAGTGTAAATGCATTGTCAATCCACATACATACAGGGGCAACCATGTATTTGCAACTATTCCAACCCAGACAGGCAGCAGCAGTTGAATCTCGATGTGGACACTGGAGAGACTATCATAGTCTAAATCATATTTTGATTCAATCTGGATGTAAAATGAGTTTGAATGCCAGGTGAAATTGGAGAATTAAGCTGCTAGCCACTACAGCTACATCTTCACACATAAGCTGGAACTGTATGGTTTAAAGTCATATTGATTACACAACCATCTCTGTGTGGGCAGCTCAAAATACATTGATAAAGTCTATTCATCTAGATCCTGCATATTTAAAAAAAATCTTATCTGGTTAACCGTACAAAAAATGTTATTATGATATTTTACAAGATTTGATTCAATAGCCCATTTGGCAAAAATACATTTTCCTACAGTGCAGCTGTACATAGCTTCTCTGCCACCTCTGCTATTTATTTTCTCTTTGTATGATGATTGTGTTGTCTTTGCGTGCTTTTAGTTGTTTTGTTCCTTTCGTGTGATGTGTGAAGTTTTATTCTTGAGGACCTAAGTGGAAATAAGAGTTCAGGCTTTTATTCTCAGTAATTTTTAAAAATATGTAAAAACTGGCGCACAGTCTTATCCTCCAATACATTGATAGATTCATTCTTTAATTCAATTTGGATTATAACAAGCAAGTATAATTTACAAGCAAAGTTTCCATCTGTAACAAACATGGTGCATTCCAAAGCCCATTACCAGAGAAGAATGGAGAGCTTTGTTCTCGTGTAATATAGGTATACCAATCTGACCATTCATTCAGTGTCCATGGTTCATGGCTGTCACTTTGGTTTATAGGTGAATAGAAGTGACTGTTAGCAGAACAATACAGGAACAAAACTTTTTTTTTCCAACAAAAAAACATAGATGAAGTCAGGACAGAGTGAGGCCCGAGACAGAATCATGAGAAATCCCCCTCTTCGCGAGATGTATGCATTAACTTCTGTTAAAGATCAGTGATTTAATATGAATGGAATTTTCCATAAAACAAATCTCTAGCAGTGTCATTACTATACAAATAACATTAAGGACTTAATAGATCTTGCATTGTGTTTATTGTAAAAAAACGTCAAATAACGACTTATTTTTCTTATAGATCTGCAAAGACTTATGAGTTGGAATAGGGGGGGAATTAGCTTGTTATAAGATTAGTGTTTAGGATTTAGCAAATTCAATATTCAGTTTGTTGTTTTCATTCATGTACAATCACCTGACTCTAAGAATGCCTTTGTACCTACATGGGAGCGGGTCCTCTTCTGTTACGCCACTTGGAGCCCACTGTAGAAGTGGAGGGTGAGGGGAGGGTCATTCAGTTTGTTGCAGTCTGCAGCTTCATCGCTTGAGACCAGGAAATCTTGCACATTTAACCTTTAAAATCAGTCACTGGACATTTTTGAAAGTTTCAAATTGAGCTACTAAATGAAGCAGATTTAAATATGTAACTGAGACACATCCCTCTGTCCTGTGTGGCTACAATTAAAAAAAATATGTACATATTTATCTTTTAAGTCATTATTGTGTTGGGGGGTAAAGAAACATGAAATATATTCACCCATATATCAGTGCTATAGTTTTACAAAAATCCCATCACAAAATAAGGGATATAGTGGATTTAAATTTTAAATCAAAACTTTTTTTTCTTTTCTCCACAACCAAAGCTAAATTAAATTCTCCGTATTCTACCAGCTTCATCAAAAATGCAAAAATATGGAACCTTAGTGTAATGTCAGCGTTTGAGTGTGCAATTGTGCGAGGTCCATCCTTTATGTGGGGTTTATCACCTCATTATATCTCTCTTCATCATATAAACCCAGCTGGGTCCTGGAAGCGGATGCATAATGTATATTATTCCTTTAACAGGATCTTCCTGTGTGGACTGCCTTGCCGGCTGGAGACTGACTGAGGCAGAGACATGAATCTAACTGGTTAGTGATCTGGTCTATTTGTTCACTTTTTACTATCATGTCATCGAGTCGTAAAATTTTATGTGACAGTGTGTTTCTGTTTTCTTTGTTACAAAATGCTTAGGTATAAATCTCTCGTCTCTCGTTTTAAAATTCTTAAAAACTGTCAACACGATAGCATGATTTTGCATTTAAAATATATAGACATAATATGCTAAATCAGTTGACTTTACGTATTTCATGTATAGGTCATAGAAAAATTACTCAAAGACCTGAATAAGCAGTATAATTCTTGGTGGGGGCGTTTGTGTGTGTGTGTGTGTGTGTGTGTGTGTGTGTGTGTGTGTNGTGTGTGTGTGTGTGTGTGTGTGTGTGCTCGTGAGAAAGAGAAAGAGTGTGAGACAAACAGGGATTGAGCGCAGGAGGGACTCGTATTAGCCGAGACACTTGAATGAATTTGAAGAATAGGTTTTTTACATGCAGAGCAGTTACAATACCGGGCCCTGGCCGGCAGACAGTACCAGCGTCTCTGATTTGAATGACGCACACCTGCCTGATTGGTGGGATTTAAACACTTGTTTCAGGAGAGTGTCCAAACGAAACTGGGTCCAGCTGCATTGATTCATCTGCCTCTGAGATGTGGAAACTGAGAACTACATGAATAAACGATTGAAAGCTTGACACAAGTGATTTTCTTGATGTTTTTGGCAGCACAGTGTGTTGTTATAAGTTGGCCGTGCCTCTATAATATTACAATGATGTTCAAAAAAACACTGCAAACTAAGACACCCTCATATTATTTCAGTCTAACAACTGATCAAGCAAACCACCACAAATAATATAAAACCACAAAGTAACAGTAAAATAAATGAAAAGTGAAAAAAAAGTTCATTAACTTAATATTCTTTCCCAACCAGACCAGTTTAATACACTTACTTACATGGAGTGAAGGCAGCCAGTGTGTGCATGTACCAGTAGTCAGTGTGAGATTGATTGTGACTTACAACAGTGGTGTAAATGTCCGACAGTATTAACTCTGTCAAGTGGCTGTCCGGGTATGGTTATGTGATCTCATGAGGCAAAGCTGGCCCCCACGAATTTAAGTATACACAGACACAACTAAAGCTCCCTGCCTCTCCTACACACACACACACACACACACACACTCTCACACACACTGACCCAGGGGGGTCAAGGTGCAGTGACTATGAAGGTTGTCTAACTGGGCCTCTTGAAACTCTTGCCTTGCATTCCAGCGCCCGAAGGAGGGGGTTGTAGCAGCCAGGCTTATTACCAGAGAGAGAGAGAGAGAGGGAGAGAGACAGAGAGAAAGAGTGATAGAGAGTGAGAGAAAAGAAATAGGGAGCGGGTGGGAGGGAAAAGTGGGGGTAGAAAGAAGCTGGAAGGTATTATGCACTATTTCCTTGCCTTCCTAGAAGCTCTCACTTGTTACCTCCCATTAGGCCGGCTGAGTTTCTACGACAAAGTAAAGGAACCGCTGAAAACTGAACCTGCTTTTCTTCAGCTGCCGCGGCCCTCTAACTAGCCTGCTTGTTTTCTTTCTCTGCTGGTCCCCGTGCATGTTTTTCTCTCTCTCCGTCTCTCCCTCTCACTCCCTCTCCTATTCGTCTCCCTCTCTTTCTCTGGGCTGTGTGTAAGAGGATCACTTTGTTTCCGTTGCCTTTTTCCGCGGTGCTGCAGACACATTGAGGGGAGGATTGAATTTGAGGAGATACTGACGGGGTTGCACAGCTGCAACAGTCCCCTCCATCTCCACACCAGGACTAATATCCCCCCTCCCTCTCTCTTTCTCTTGCTCTCTCTCTTTCTCTCTCTCTCTCTCTCTCCCCTGTGTGTTTGACTCTCCCTCTGTCGCACTTTCTGCTTCTGCCGATCGAAGGGGTGGGGGTGCCATATGGGAGCTTAGAAAAATGGAAGTTGATCGGAGAAAGACAAGAGAGGAATCTTTCATTCTTAGGCTCAGATGTCGGGATCTACGTGGTGAGTGTGTCTCTCTTTCTCTCTGAGCACTTTTAGGAAGTTGTGTGCTCCTTAAGAATCCCCAGCATGCATGTATTTTCAAAACTGTGTTTTATTCCTCAGTGATTGAGATTTAGATGTTTCCTACCTATTTTGAGTTTTACTGCTGGATGTGTAGCTCTGTATTTTCTTCGACTTCTACTTGCAGGGTTCAAGTTCACGGTTCAGCGTTAATTTGCGAGCTGTAGTGATAAGAAGGGTTTTGTGCTTGTGAATTTGTAAGTTTTAAGGGTCAAGGTAGAGTGAGACAGGAGGTGGAGTGGAGGCCGTCTGGGGGAAGGGAGTTTGGAGGGGTCAAAGAGAATGGCACTTGGCCCAGGCAGCACAATGGCTCTGAAAACTTTTTTACTTTGACATTATCAGTGCAAAACCTGTGCCTTTTTCATATCCTCGAAACTTTTCCATGTTCTCAGCTTTCCTGCTATGGAGGACGTTTATTCAGATGATAACATTGATCAATGGCGGCACTTTCACTTTTTTTCATGAGTTTTTTTTAAGCGGGGAGGGATTGCGTAAAATTTTGACTTACCGTCACCCACAACCTTACCACTCTCACCAACTGACAAAACTGTCTGAATAATGTCATTAAAGACACATCAAATAAAAAGAACTGTGTTGATAACATGAGGAAATGTCAGAACTTTTAGACTCCAAGTTCATCGTGCATCTTGTAGACTATTCATATTCACATGTTGTACATCATGTTGTTGAAAGAATGCTTGTTGCAGATTTTAAGCTGTTCTGGATCTCCATATAAGTTTGAAACAGTTTATTCCCTTGCATAATTAAAGAAAGATAATTTTAGCTTATATCTTTATGATCATTGTCTATGATTAGTTTGTAGAGGCAGACCATTATATATTTTATCTGACCATTTCTGTATTGGAGATAAATCTAGACAAAAGAAAACTTAACCATTGTTTATGAACATTTATACAAAATACAAATTTCTTTAATTTAAATACAGTTGTTTGTCTTTTCTAAATCTCAATTTTCAGAGGGACAAAAGTAATTTTCAAGTTACTGGTTCGAACTGAGAAATGTTATAGTTTTTTTCACTAGATGGTAATTTGCACCCAAATGAACTTGTGTGTGTACGTCTGGGAAATTAGCAGAGTTAAGTGAGTGAGCAGGCTCCTTTTAGGAAGCTGTTGAACTTCAGAGCTGTGATTTATGGGTCTCACCTTGATGGTTCATTGGCAGTTTGGGCTGTTGACCTCACTCCATCGTCTCTTTGAGGAAATCAGAAGCCGTCTCTCTGACTTACTTATTCTGTGCTTCCCTGGCTCCCTCCCTTCATTACACATCTCACTAACATGGAAATGAAGAATCCCGACCGGCAATAATGGACTTATTTCTTCCTGTGAAAGTTAGTCTTTAAACCAAGAGTTAAAAGAGATGGAAAAATGTGCCTGTGTGGATTTATTTTTGGTCTGCTCTCTGTGCAGTGTGACATCCTGTTTAACCAATAGAATGTGGGGAAGCTTTGCTGAATTTCAGTCACTTCTACTTCACATTTATAAATGCTCACAAAATGTGTCTGCTGCAGAATCTAGTTCTCTATTTTGGGCATGTGGGTCATATTGTTATGAAGCAGCAGAACTGAACACCTTAATGAGGACTCGGAAAGTAACTGTCCAAAAAGTTGGATTTGTTTCAGCTTCTACAATATAAAGGGACTGCATATAGAATAGCATTTGCTTGCTAGGGATCAACTTCCACATCTTTGTTCTCACATTTCTATCCTTCACACTAGCAAGCACTATTGTTAAATGCTAAATTAATTTGCGAGCCCAAATAAAATTAACATATTTAAAGTGATTTAAAGAGATCCTGATTTTATAGAAGTGCAGATGTCCTAAACAAAGAGCTGCAGTGTTTTGGGGGTCACTGTTAAATCAGCTGGTATGGTACAGCTCATCCACTCATCCAGGTTGCTGGATTACTTGAATCTGGGGAAGTAGTTTGTGTTTATTTATAGTGCTGGAGTATTTTTTTTTATGTCTAAAGCTGACTGAAGTTGTTTGTTTTGGTTTATGCCAGGTGAAGACATGTGGTCAGATAACCTGCCTGACCTCCACAGCCAAGTTTAGCCTCTCCCCCATGCCTCCTCTGGTTATAAATTAGCCTGGTGGTTGTTTCCAGGCAGTGAAAGGAAAAGCTCACTTAGTAGCAGTGATTTATTAGTTGTGAGCCTGATGCTGCCGTGTGATTGACACAGGTGCCAGTTGAGATGGGAACAGAAACTCTAGCAGGTTCACAACTGCTGCAGGAAGTAGGAGCTACCTTTCCTTCCTGACACTCAAGCAGGAGCAGAACATCAACATTTACCTACTAGTCTTCCTTCTAAGGGAATTGTTTTATCATTCAGAGAGCTGCTTGGTGATAGTGCCTAAAAATAATGAATGTAATATTTTGTCCATGGAGTTAACAGGGATAATTAGTGCATCTACTCCAGGAGGTGTTTGATAGTTAAAGTCCATGAGCATCTATGAAGAAAATAGGCACTTTAGTGTTATTTTGCACATTACCTCAATGCAACCTGTGTTACAAGTAGCAGTACTTGTAATAACAAATGCAAATCCCGAATAAATGATCCACACCTGCTCACTTCGTGTGGATGTGTGAAGCATGACAAATCAATGAAGCAAAGTAGCAGGCTATATCATGTATACGTGCTCAGCCATTTGAAAGTAATCTATCTCTGTAAATTGAGTTGTGCTTACCTCGTTGGTGACCTCAATGCAAGTAAGATAACTTTGTTAAGATGTTTCTATGACAGTCACCATAATCAGAGGATTGCCTTACTCGGGTTATGATTGAATTACCAGAGTGCATGTAAACGCTTTAAACAACAACCCTGTTGGCCTCTTATCTCCTGTTCACAACACTCTAAAGCACACATACGTTTTATTATTCTAACAAGGAATATAACAAGGAAAACAAACCTTTATATCCAGATGACAATATATACTGTTGCTTAGCAATCGTACCTTTTCTCAACCACGTCATCTGGGGCCATGCTTTTGCAGAAGTTGCGACTGCAGCTGTTACATCTTTGTGTTACACTCTGTGTGTATGCAAGGGTGCCATGCTTCAAATCCACCATGGGGGCGATGGCTTTTTAGGTACGTGCCCCTTTTGTCTACTCTAGTCGGAGTCTCTCCCCTGTTCAGAATCCCCACGTTCAGTGTGACGTTCACTCTCCTCTGTGTTTGTTTGTGTTGCCTTCATGTTCTGTTCTTGACTGCATTCGTGGAAGAGAACAAAGTGCTGTCGAAATGACAAAAAGATACTGCTGTAAAAAGAGATTTGCTGCACAGTGGAATAAACCCTACACTAATATGAAATTATAGCTATTTTTCTATTGCTACATGATATCATCATATCATACAGCCCTATTGCTTACTATAGGCCACTGAAAAAAACGAGTTAAACTTTTGAGAGTGGACAAAGGAATCTTGGGTTTTGCTGACTAATGTGGGCACTCTGAATGACTGAATGTGTGCTGTTCGAGGAAACAATTTAATGTGGTTTGTTACCAGAAGAACTGTTCCATCAAAGAAGTTCATAACCCGGGAGGCCAAGAAACCAGCAGCCAAATTGACTGCATATTGTCTCAGCACCCCGGTCTTGTTGCTTGGACGAATACGGTATAGCTGCTTTCAGACATGCACTGAACTCTGCAGTTCCTCCGTATTTTCTCCCGGGGAGGTGCATGTGTGAATGCAAATGTCCGAGGTGACTTTGTCTGCCTGGCCTCCTCGTATAATGTCAGTAGAAATTCTGGAGATTCACTGCGAGTGAATGGGGGGGGGGGGGATGCTGAATGAAATCAATGAAAAAAACAAAAAGAAAACAAATACTCAGATGAAGTGACACACACATAGAAGACACAGACGAAAATGTCGAGAGAGTTCGTGGTGATAAGAGCCGACACTAGTGTCTGTGTGTTGTCAAGAAAATCACGTCAACTCTGGGGCGGAGTTAACCGATCGCTCCCTGCCTCTGTCTGCTGCATCCGGCTGCTACACTTCTCTCGCCTGAATAATGCGGCGGATTTGTTGCTGTTATGAATGCGTCTGAGCAGAGAACCTCCCGCTGTGTTGTGCGTGTGTGAAAGGCAAACGCAGGTCATGTTTGAAAAAGGCTTATGAGTGGCACACTCATTACTTCCTTAGAAGGACCTCTTCAGTTTGTTTATTGAGCTTGGATGGTGGCTCCTTCATTATGTTGCAATATCCTGCACTACGCTGACTGTGCAGGTAATAAGCAGGAGCTCCAGCTCTAATTTGGAGGGTTCAGCTTCAAAATGAATAGCTAACTTTTTCTGCTATGAGGGAGCAAAAGGTTTTATGCTGCTCATTGCTTAATGTCACAAGGCCCTTATTTACAGCGTGTTCGAGGTGGGAGTGTTTTTCACTTTATTATTCTTTATAAAAGGTGCAAAGCAAAGTCATGGAATTGGATTTGCGATAAGGGGAGAGACATGGTGGGAAAGAATGCCGATGCTGCTTTGTTATACTGATTCTGAAAGACTGGCACGCTATAGTGTTTACCACAAAATTAACTTCCATAAATGTTGCCATGTTATGTTTGGAGATATTTTTGCTCTGCTGAAAGCATGCATGATCTCTGCTGTCTTGTTTCTTGAGAGGCTTTTCTTCCTGACAAGCCGTGTCAAGTACATTTATTTTCTTTAGTCATTGGTTCACTCATGTATTGTTTTTCTTCTAGTGCAACTATGCAAGACGTAAACAGATTTATACACCTTGTGGCAAGTCAGAACTCTCCAGTTTTTCAACAACGACCTAAAATGCCCTCCTACCTTGTGTTTGTGTGCCATGCTGAAGACATTTTAAATCTTTCCCAATGATTCGTCAACATGTTTACAAGCTTCTGTGGCCAAAGCCCTGTGGCGAACTTCACCGTATCTCTTTCCAAGCATCTTTGTAAACGGA